CCAACTAAGTAAGAATTCAGTCGCCAAGTATGGCTATCACAACAGCGCCAACCAAACATTAACACCGAACTTTCGAACCAAAACAATCAGCCCAAAAGGAATAAGCCAACCAGACAAGCCCAGCCATAAACTTGGCCAACTTTGACCAAGTTTTTGTGGTTCTTTTATTTTAGGTCTTCGGTATTGAAACATTTTTGGGGCAAATACATTGACTTTGGTTGTTGTTTAGTGAATTAAATGTATCTGCCTGTGTTTGTGTGTGTGGATTGGCCTCATATGACTCGTTTAATTTTCGGCCACAAAAGTCTCTGCAACAGCTGGAACAATGTCCCCAAACGTCTGCAAATATTTAGTTTGTTGTTGTCATTATTTACGTTTATAAGACTTCCCTTGTTTGAGGTTTATTTTGGCTGTGTGCGTGTGTTGTATGTGTGTATTTCTTTTTGTCCTACAGATCAGCTTATAAGCTTTGTAATTTTTGTTTTCTTGAAGTCGAACCATGCCAACTAAAGAGAATAAGAATTTTGGGGGAAGTTTTTATAAGTATAAATAATATTTAAGAATATAACAGGTAGAAAATTAAAGTGTTTATTTAGTGATATGTCCTTAGGGACGTTGTTAGTTAGTTTCTATGCTATATATAGGTATAGGTGATAATATAGAACATATAAACAGAAGTATTTATCTTGTGTGAAATTCAGTGTTTGAAATACATCAAAACTAATAAAATAGTAAAAGTCTGAAGCTAGAATCGTGAAATTTAGGTGGAGGTCAATCTTGATCCAAAGGTGTCAGATAAGGCTGGGAAAATTACTAAATACGGTACCATTTGTAATGGGCGAACCGGTGGAGCTAGAACCCGGGGGTCCCCTTAATTTTTTAAATAAATTCTAATTTACACCTATTTAAGAATGTCCCTAGAAAATTTCAAGTGAAAATCTTAAGAACTCTTGAAGATATAGCCGATTTACTGTGTCAGCATCAAGTGGCGACTGAAGGGCTTCTCAAACTTTAAACGCGTTTTTCTACGAACATTGGTTTTGCGAATGCCGGACACGATAACTCAAAAACTAATAATCCAATCAGTTCTAAATTATGACACGTTTCTCTGGGAGTGTATAGCTCTCGTATGAACTAGGATAAAGCCAATCGGTGAAGATCTTCCTTATTATACCCTAAACAAATATGTTGTCAGGGTATTATAGCTTTGCGCAGCCCCAAAAGTTTGTAACACCGCGAAATATTGGTCCTAGACCCACCTTTAAGTATACCGATCGTCATATCTCGACTAGCTGAGTCGATCTAGACATGTGTGTCCGTCCGTCCGTCCGCCCGTCTGTCCATTATAATTTGTAAACACGATACAGGCCACAGTTATGGACCAATCTTCACGAAATTTTGCATGTAGGATGGGTTCTGGCCAATGAAGACCCCTATTGTTTTTGGGAAATATCGGTTAATATTTAGGGGATGAAATGGACCAAAAACTTTATTTTTGTCGGTTTTTCTGGTCGCTGCAGAGGCCGCAATTATGGCCCAAACATCGCGAATTTTTGCACGGAGAAGGGGATCGGGCCAGAGAAGCTATTGATCTCTAATCGGTTAAGAGGGTGCAAATAGATATAGATCTGCAGATAGTTAGACTTCCGTGGTAGTTGTGTAGGGTATCATATGGTCGGCCCCGTCCGACTATACTGCTCCGCTCACTGGTTTTCTAATTTAGTTTGTGGTCAAAAATATACGATTTTTTCGGTATTCGAAAAATACTAAAATGTACTAAATTGGTTACCACATCTTGGATATAGTTAAAAACATGAAATGTGGTATGCGAATTAAGGGTGAGAAGTAGGGTCGATATAAGGAGATGGTTTTGAAAGCATACGAAACGATTGAGCTGGAATCCTGAAATTTAAAATTACCATTACAGTCGGAGTGTAGGATTGGGATATGTTCGTGATTTTGGACGTAATTGTGTGTACGAAAAGTACTAAATCCTACTAAAATTGGTACATTTTCGATTTGGGTGATACAGCTAGGATCCTGACATTTTTTAGGATCATTTTTGGGGTGCAAGATTGGGCTATGTAGTAAGATTTCGCAGAAGGGGAAGACCACGAATAAGATGGAAAGTGCAAGTGCAAGACAACATTACCGAATATGGTCTTTCAAATTGGAAAAATTGCGCAAAAGACCGACGCGCCTGGAAATCTTTTTTTATGGAACGAAAGTTCTGTCAAAAGCCAGCTATGTAGGTAAGGTCAGAATTTGTGTATAGAGTTAAGATATGGGGGTACTTTTGGAAATACGTACTATACTAAAATTTTAATTAGGGTCGGTATTGGATTTTAAATAATTCCCATACCCTCTACCGTATGGTCAATTATATATATTAAATTTCTCATTTCGTTTGCAAAAACTAGAAATGTTCCTCGGAGATCCAGTAAGTATATATATGAGGTCTGATAAAGGGAACTGTTATTTTAACCGTTTTGTGAATTATATATGTCCAATTTCCCCATTTTATGCACTTCATCTTAATATAAAGGTTATACTCATTTTTTCATACCGTTTGCAACTCATTGAAATTATCATTTTCGACTGTATAAGGTTGATCAGGCTAAAATCCTAATGTGATCTACAGTTTGCCCGTAAGATGTAATTACGCTATCTTCCGAAAATGGCCTATATCGGTATAGGTTTCGGTGTAGTCTCCGGTATATGCAGGATGTTATGCACAATTTTCATTGTTTTAAGGAGTATGGAAAAAAATTCATCTGAATTGGCTGTATTTCCATAATTTAAATTCTAGTTACGCAAAATTATAAATACCAGCCGATTTTTAGGATTTTGAAATTTGGACAGGTTTTGTAACAGAATTTACTGTTATTTTAGGTTTTTTATTCTCATTGGATACCGAATTTCTTTACCAAAAATTATAAATATTGATCAAGGTCTCGGAGTAGCCTTCATTTAAGGGAACCACCTCCCCCCCAATTACGATTTGAAATTTCGATGAGTGTTAAAATCTTGCAACTGTCCATACATGTATTTGAAAACTTTAGGAAGAAAATAAATTGGCAAAATGTTGTTGTTGTTTGTATTTAAAGAAAATGCATTCTTTTCGATGGCGGGCATGATTGCCAATCAATGGAACGTCCCAAACTCAAAATTCCAACGCAATTAGAGAGATTACATCTCTGGATCTGGTATAACTATATTGGTCTAGAAAAATGTGTTAAAGTTTTAAACCATTGGGATTAATAGTTTTTGAGTTATCGTGACCTCCAATCCAATGGTGCTGTAACAATAAATCGGCTATGTCTTCAAGAGTTTTTGAGATTTTGACTTGGAATTTTAAAGATAAATTTTTGAATTAGATATAATTAAATATAAACCCAAAATTCAATTTCCCGACCAACATAGTTTGACAGATGTGTGTTTACATCGGAAGTTTAGCCCACACTTCAAAAATCATTCGGTATAGAAGATGTTTTCGTCTATTTAAATTTAGAATAAAAACAACGTCACAGGATAATAGGCACCAGTTCACGCATCGTTTTCGTCCATGTGATACGCTACACAACTACCACGAAAATCCAACTTTCTGCGGTTCTATATTCTGAGACTGTGCAATATTTCGCGATATTTGTAACCTCTTGACTTTTGTAGGCCAACAACTAAACTTTCTAACCCTGGCATATTTTCCAAATCTTGTTTCCCGAGGTGAATATTTACGGCACAAAATAAAAATTTGGTCACTTTAGGTTTTGGTTGATTTGTCCCTCGTAATCAGAGATGGTCCGTCAGAAACAGTGACGTAAATGACATACATTTTCGACGTATATTACATACGTCGGAAACCCACCCAAAACCATTAGGTTTTTGACAAAATGCCTATTTCCATTAATGAATTTGGAAATTACGTATGTTTACTGAAATCCATATAAAATTTCAAAAAATTTTTCTCCAAAAAGTTTAGAATTTGGTATTAGTTCCAGTAAGGACCAAACAGATATATGTAAAAATAACATGTATTTTTGAAAATGACGCTGTATGGTAATAATATTCGAATAAATGACTTTTTCTACATTTATTACATTTTATACAGGTATATGACGTTTTCGACGTTTACACCTTTTTGACAGTCGAAAACATAAAAATTCGTCATACGGACCATCCCTGCTCGTAATATTGACCTATCACCATCTAAACAGCCGTTCTAAGTATTTGGTCAAATCCCCTTCACCGCGTAAAGTATGTAATGTTCTGCATATAATATTGGCCTTTTCAAAAACAATATGAAGACCTCTTTCGCAATCGTGAAGATTGGCCCATAATTTTGGTCTTTATCATATTTACAAATCAAAATGGGCAGACGAACGCACGGATACACATGTCAAGATGGGGTCAGCTAGTTGAGATATGACGATAAGTCCATCTTTAAGTAGGTGGGCCTAGAGCCCATGCTTCGAGACATTACAAATTCTTGGGGATGTACAAAGCTTTAAGTATTTTGATAGTCCTACCCTAATTTCCTTATCGTAGTGGCTTTAATGCGGATTTCCGGGTTTAAGGTAAGACATTCCTGTTTTTTTGGGTAACAAAGTTATTTGCACAACATTTTCAATATAGGTCCATGTTTAGACATAGCCCGTTTCATTTAATGTATTTTAATTCGTACCGAAGTATAAAAAATTACTTTGAAAAAATATTCGATTCTTCAGAGCTATGCGATTCTCGGGAGCTGGATAAATTGTCCCAAATACCATTGGCATGTATATTTCAATGGTCAAGTCTTAAAGTGTAACCAACAACTTTTTCAACAATTTTCATTACCAATACAACATAATTTTTGGTTTACAACTAATTCCAATAAATTTTGTATTATATATGTGATTATATTATTTATGTATTGTTTTGAAACTATGTTTCACTTTAATATTAATTATTTATCCTGCTGTGAGAATATGTTCAGAACATTTAATTACAGTTTTACTTACCTCCCAGTGGCTAAACATCAATTGGGGACACGCCAATCCGGACGTTTGTTTACGTATCTCTTGGGCAAAGTTGAACGACTCAATAACGGGTAGTATGGCCATAACGGAAAAGTTACCAGAACCTTGAGTAAGGTCACCAGACAAAATTTTGCCATGACGTCGTCCAATAACAGCATACATTTTACCTAAAACATAAATGTTGGAAATTACATATAAATATATATTGTATTTAGTTACTTATGAATAATTCATATAATTTCGGATAACGAAGTTTGAAAAGAATATAAGGAGAGGAAAACTCATTACAATTGGTGTTTCTAGAGCCACCGTCATGCCGAAATCTAGAATTATTTGTATACTACTACTCCTTAATAAAATAAAAATCCTTATGGAATCATTACATTGGAACCATGTGGCATATATTAAAATTTGTGACCAATGGAAAGCCAATTGCAGGCAAAGAGATCTAAAAAAGTAATTTCAAATTGCATACACTTCCGTTGGAACATTATATCCGGGCTTTTGAAATACCTTTAAGGATTGACCAACATTTTCATCCTAACCACTTCTTTTGAGATTGAGCGGCTATATGGTTACATGTGTTTAAAATGTTTAGCTAGGAAGCGTTATACCAAGCAAGGAACCGGTAACATCGGTAACTGCGCCTGGAATGCAAAAAAGTTTTTACAATACCAAATTACAGGAAGTAGCTCCCACCTATTTCAATGCTCTATCTCCATCTAATATTTCGAGGTGCTACACGCCGAATGACAAATTTAACATACATGTTAATTTGGAGGATATAAACATATTAAACATATTATTATTATAATAAACATATTATTATGATTAATTCAGTTCCATTCGTTAATCCACATTTTTTATTAAATTGTACTCAAAAATAAAAAATCCGTTAAGAGTTCAAATTTATGGTGATGGTAGACTACGTCTTGGCTTATTATCAGCACAGGAACAACACAACAGCTCACTGCTGCGGCGCTTGTGTTGCTTGCGCTCGATAATCGATAATCGATAATTAGGTAAAGAGGAAACACGACACACAAGTGACCAGTCAAGACATCAGCAACATATGTGAAGATAAACCTACAGACAGACATAGCGACAGACTCTGAGGCAGGTAAATTCAACATTGGACCGACAAACCGGGGATATATCACAACATTGGCCAACGGAACAGACAGCTAGCTAGCCACAGCACAGATTTTGTGCAGAAGAATCACGCAAAAGCCGTAAAAAACAAACAACCAAGAAAAAGGAACACCTGAAGTTACCAAACAACTGACCCATACCACAGCAATGTGAATAGAACAATTTTATACTGAAACAAGAGAGCAATGAGAGAGAAATTCTGCAGAAGATTAAGTTGTATTTGTGAGTATGAATAGAACATTTCCAAAGATGCTGTAAATGTCAGATACTTCATTCATTAGAACGCGTTCATTCATTGAGAAGAACCCATTAGTTGGAGATGTGCACATACACACATATCTAAAATTGTTCTTCGTTAAGAGCTTTTCGAGAAAATGATAAGTAGTGTTGCCACATATTCTTGTTTGCTTGTTGTTTTGCTTTTTGGTGACTTTTGAATTTTAGTATAAAAATAATTGCAAGTAGTTTTAACATCGGTTACACCATAAAGTTGAGGGTATATTAAATTCGTCATTCCATTTTTTGCTATATATTTCTCGAATTATTCATCAGAGAGCCCATAAGCAAAATACAAATATTCTGAATCAGAATGAAATTCTATGTCGATTTAGCCATATGCATCTGTCATTCTATTGAAGTCGCGATATTATATATAAAGCTTTGGAATTTTGGATTGTAATCGACGTTTTGGTATAAGCCCTGTATGACGATACTTCCAATATTCGTTATTTTGGGGACTTGAGAACGTTTTCCAATCGAATTTGCTGTATATTTTGGATTCTCATTAGATATCAAATCTTCTTTACAAATCTTTTCATTAGGTATCAAATCTTCGTATCAAAACGATCAAAATAGACTAAAGTTTTGATGTATGTCGCAAATAACGGTAACACATCTTCGGTATTTTAGGGAGATGTGTAACTAACGTCACTTCTTTTTATTTTTAATAAGATGCGTTATTTTATGATTTTTTTTTCAATAAATAATTGGATGTTGATGAATAAAATAAAAATGCTAAAAAAGGCGCTTGAATCGACCGTGGCCTGTTGATGTCGTCCTTATGTTTCACGTCGCCTCAAGAGAATTCTTTAGTTTGGATTTTGGTGATCTCGTTGCTTCCACTGATCGCCTTCCTTTATTTCAATATTTTTCATTCGTCCTCGTCCGTTATAACAGATGTCAATGCTCGTAAATTTATTATTGTCTAATTAACCCTACGGCCAATAACCAAAATAGTATACGTAGATCAATAACCGTGGTACATTTGTACCCATCCAAAGATAGCTCTGTAACTCATAAAAAAATGGACTATCGTGAGGTTTTTTGTTTTAAATTAGTCCATGCGGATCTGGTCTAGATGTAGGAACTCAAAATTATATATACGGACAATAATCATTGTTTTTGTCCCTGTATACCAAGGGAAAACCAGGGTAGTTTCTGATTTCCACGAGTCGCCCTGATGACCCTATGTTCTCTAGGGCCACAAAAATTTGCGGAGGGGTTGAGGAACACCTAAATAATATCACAATAAAAAAATTACTAAAAAAGCTTAACCCATTCGAAAGCTATAACGAATTTACTTTGATTGTTTTAGATAGATTATCATTTAAGCATGGATTTAAATATATATTATTTTAATGTACATATAATTTTGAGTTCCTACATCTAGATAAGATCCGTATAGACTAATTTAAAACAAATAACCTCACAAAAAACCAACCTGAATAATGAACAAATTTTGCAAGGAAGTTTGTTACTCGTTCACAACCCCATATTACAGGCAAGTCAGCTATTAAAAAGACTTAAATCGGCTGGTATGAAACCTTACGCATAAAAAGACAGTTCATAATAAAAATCCTTTAAGCAGTGAACATGTCAACCAGTTTCAATTTCTATCGTCTTTTCATAAAATGTTCATAAAATTCGTGACCTACAAATTCGATATAAAATATGAATTATTGAAATTCCTAAAACTGAAAAATTTTTCGCTTATGAGAAGTTCGGATAACTGAAATTATTTTCAATTAACCGAACTCCGCTTAAGTGAAAACATCGGATAACTGAAACAAACATTCAGATTTTTTCCGTTTCAGTAAAGCGGAGTCGACTGTATTATATTGCTTCTGAATGGTCTACTAAATAAAATTTAATTAAAATGAATTTTTTTATTATTATTATTATTATTTTTGTTTTTTTTTTTGAATTTATTTACTTTTATTTATTTTTAATAGTAAAGTCGGACTGTGCCGACTATATGATACCCTTCATTACTTTGGGTATATTCTACATAGGTATCCTAACAAACGTCTCCTTTTTGAAGGAACAATGCCATGTATTTGCATTATATTGCATCTGGATGGTCTACTAAATAAAATTTAATTAAAATTTTTTTTTCGGAATTTATTTTTTAATCCATCAACGAAACACAGAATTATGTGAGCGAAAAAAACAAAAAGAACGATAAAATAGGGAGATTCAAAGGACCTATCTAGGAGTCGGAACTATATCAAGCAAAGGAACTACATTAAGGAATTAGTTCTTTTTTAAAAGGAACTAGAAAGATCGATACGCTCCGTGAACTATATTGCCTAACTCTACCTAGCAGTCAATATGATTTTTTTCCTCAACGCAATCAATAAGGGCGCTATCTTATTGATGATGGTTTATTAACGTGTTTGAAATGCTCCATTGTAAGGAACGACGAGGTATATATAATCGTAGTTTTTTTTTTAAAAATATTTTGTCCCAAATGCTCGAATTTATATATAGATTTGTGTATTGTATTCCTCGTTGAAATAATGGTTTTAAACTCCATGTTTGCTGAATAAAAGCAATTTCAGACAATTTGGAGTCCATATAGAAATTTAGACGATAGTAACCGATCAAATCGGCAAGCATATCACAGACTAATATTTCTTCCAAACTTAAATAAAGTTCAGAGTATCAAAATTTTGAACATTTATAACCCCAACAAGAAAAATATTATCGAACAAGAAAAATTTTACCAAACCAAATTAAAATCCTATTTTTCTCAAATTGTTTAATTTTTTTCATCCATCACATAGCTATGTGGGCGAAAAAAAAAAACAAAAAGATATAGAAATCGGAACTATATTAAGGAAACAAAATATTAAAAAGAAAGAAAAAGATCGATCGACTTTGCAATCCTAATATTATGGTATGGTATTGCTCGACACGACAGTGGTACCGTAGTGTTTGTAAATACCTTGTTAACCTCGAAGTGAGACACCAGCGAAAATCTCATGTAGTTTATGTCGTTGGTCAGCTAAGTACGTTGGTCAGCTAAGTACTAAGTAAGTAGGTATGAAAGGTTTTTTGTATAGAAGCAATAGCTTCTGGGGAGAATATCCCAACAAAAAACTAAAGGAACTGATGAGGATCAGTGGCGTGATCCGAAACTATAGTCTTTTCTGCCTTACCCCTCGGCAAACAATGCCATACATTCCCCACTAATAAATAGTTGTTTTTTTTATAAAAACAACAAACTAGGATTCAGCATGACTATTTTGCAAAAAAAAAAATGTTAGGGATAACATTTAAATTTTATCAAGATAATGACCCCAAACACAAGTCCCAGATCGTTCGAGAATCGATGCTTTAAAACTGTCCAAAAACAATTCAAACACCTCCTCAGTGCCCGGATTTGAATCTTATAGAGAACTTATGGAGTATTCTAGAAAAAATTCTACTTGCTTTACAAGTAGAATGGGTAAAAATTCAGACAGCTCACAAGGACAACTTGTTGAAATCTATGCCGGCAGGGTTGAAATATGTAAAAGATAACATAATGGATATCAAAGTATTAACCATCCAAAAATAGCCGTTTGTTTAAACAAGCTTTTATCTTGGATATTGTTCACAGAGCGGTTGCAATTGCTTTTGTTTGACAATCATTATTTTTTATATCGAATTTACATAAATATTGTTTATTTTATTGCATTTATTTTAAGATAAGATGTTTATATTCGCATAAAAAAGGATACAATATAATTCGTT